TTGACTTCTGTCCTCTCAACAAATATGTGGATGTACTGTCTATTTAATTTAGAACTGTTCTGCCCATGTGACTTTGAGTAGTCACTGTCCTTCTGTCCTTCAGTTTTTTTATCCATAAAGATAGAAGTGCTGGTCTAGGTAACTTCTGAGATCCCCCTGACCTTTCTTCATGTTTGTTTGGAGTTCTTTCTAGCTTAAGAAGCAGAGCACATGGGAATTGGAAGGGCTATCCAAAGCCATCCAGTCCAATGGAGACACATACAGTGGTGATCAGAGTGCTAATAACCCCCTTCTAAATCCTACTCATCCTTCAAGGTCCAGCTCAAGTCACACCACTGGAGAGCCTTTCCTGACCGTCTCAGCCAATAATGAGACCCCCTAGTCATTGATGATCTGAATCACTCATGATCTTGTATTGTTCATGGATCCATCTTATCTCTGATAGGTAGAAAGAACTTCAGAGCAAATACAAGATTTGTTTTCAAATATCTGAAGGTCTGTCATGTGGAAGAAGGAGAAGACTTGGGTGGATCCAAGGAGCAGTGGATGAAAGTTACAAAGAGGTAAGCTGAGGCTGGATAGAAGGAAAACTGTCCTCACAATGTGAGCTTCCCTGAACCAGAATGGGCTGTTTCAGAAGGATAGTGGGCTCCCCATCACTGGTGGTCTTCAAGAAAATGCTGTAAAGGTATGCTGTAAGAGGAATTGCTTTCAGGTTTTGGTCAGATAGGCCTTTAAAGGCCCTTCCAGCTCTGAATGTGTGAGTCCATGAGCCCACCAGGAACTTTGCCTCCTATTTCCTCAGTCCAGCTCCCTTAGGGCCCTGTCAGGTAAAAGCTAATCTAAATAAATTTAATTGCATTAATGTGTCACTGGGTAACAACAGCTTGATGATTTGTCCCTCCCAGCTAATATATTTACATTGTTCCAGGGGCCTTGTAGAGACTCAAGTCTTTTTTGTCCACTGTGTATAGGCCCTGAAAAATTCCAACGGTAGAGGTCTGCCCGATTCTTAGATCCTGACCACAAAACCTTTCAACTCTCACCTCTCAAACCAGTTTGTTCTCAGGGGCAGTGCCTCCCTTCATCTCCACCCTGGGAACTGGCAGAGGTTCAGAGATGTAATCTTGGAAATGGAGCCTCAGAGATTCCAAGGGCGATAAGCTGGCACAGCAGAGCAGAATCAGCTTTGCCAGGCTACAGGATGCCCCAGGGATACCACATAGCCAAGTGAGGAGCTGCGCTGGGCTCAGCCCTTCCCTCACGTTACCCAACTGCACCTTCATACAACACTCTGAAATCTGGCCAGGAGAAAATCCACTTGGACTAGAGGGAGTGAAGCAGAATGCCTGGCTCCTCCACCTCCTCCCACTCCCAAGTCTGCTGTCTTGCCACACCTTTCCATCTCCTAGGACTCACTCCTTCTTGCTTTGCACCTAATTAGCTATAAGGACAGGATCAAATCCAAAAGAGACTGCCAGAGGCTTTCAAACAAGGGACTCACTTGTCCAATCCCTTCATTTTACAGATTTGGAAACTGAGGCCCAGAAAGATAAAATGACTTGCTCAGGGAGGGAAGAATGTGTTGGGCACTGTGCTAAGTGCTTTCCAGCTACTGTCTCATTGGTTGTCACATCCCAGATGTCAAACTGCAGAGGAGATCTAAACTCAAATCTATGACTCTAAGCTTGGAGTTCTTCTCAGCCCCATCTCTCTCTCTGTGGCCTGGCTTTTCCCCTTTTCTGTGCCATGGAGCCCCTTGTCTGCTTACAGAAGGCTATGGGACTCTTTCTCTACACCATGTTTTTCAATGCGCAAAATAAAACACAAAGGAAACCAATTATATTTAAACAAAATTCTCAAAATATTTTTTCTTAAAAACCAAATTCATGGGCCCCAGGTTAGGAATTGCTGTTATGGGCAATATCACAGCACTGACCTCTAAACTCAGATTCTTGGCTACCTCTAGGACGCTTCTCCCAATACCTTCCTAGGACCCAAATCTGGAACAAGCACAGGGCCAATGGGGCTTTGGCCCAAGCACTGGCATGAGTTAGTAGAGGAAGGCAAGCTTCCATGATTATTCCCAAGGCAACAGCTGTTCTACTCAACTTCCCTATGGGATTATCTGAGGGACAGGTTAGGAGTGAGAATGGGAGGGCCTTGTGTACATCTTCATATAGGACCCCATGATCCCCCCCTTGCCCTGCTACTGCTGCTGGAGGGTCTTGTGCCCTGCTATGCTCACACTCACGTCTTACCAACCTCTGTGCTACCCACCACTGACCCCAAAGGACTTAATGAGGGTTCTACCCAAACTCCAGACTCAACATGGGTTGGCTTTATCATCTCTCCCCTTCCCCTCCTTCCCTAGCTTTTACTTCCAATTTCCCCCTCTCGGTAGACGGCACCACCTTCTTCCCAGTCCCCCCATCTTTAACTCTTCCTTCTCTCCTTCCTCCCCAAAGCACAAGCCAACAGCTCTCTGCCTGTTTCCTCATCTGTAAAATGGAGGCAGTAATAGCACTTGCCTCCTAGAGCTGTTGTGAGGATCACATGATGTGGAAAAAGTAATAATAGCTACCATTTACATGTATGCCTGCATGTGTGTGTTATGTATTTATATGCATGTATAAACTATATTATTGTTCAGTCATGTCCAACTCTTCAGGATCCCATTTGGGGTTTTCTTGGCAAAGATACTGGATTGGGTTGTCATTTCCTTTTGCAGCTCATTTTACAGATGAGGAAACTGAGGTAAACAGGGTTAAGTTACTTGCTCAGGGTCACACAGCTAGCATGTATCTGAGGCTGGATTTGAACTCAGGTCTTCCTGACTCCAGGCCCAGCACTCTGTTCACTGTACCACCTAGCTGCCCATATAGATATCTATATACACACACACTATATATGTGTATGTGTGTGTGTGTGTGTGTGTGTGTGTGTGTGTGTGTGTGTGTAAATATACACATGTACACTTCAAGGTTTAGCAAAGACAGCAGTTAGATGACTTGCCCGGGGTCAAACAGCTCATAAATGTCTACGGTCACATTTGAACCCAGGTTTTCTTGACTCCAGCTTCAAATCTCTGACCATTATACCATGTAGCTCATTTTTTTCCCTGTAAAGTGTTTGCAAACCGTAGAGCACTAGATAAACGCTAGCAGCTGTTGTTGTTGTATAAGCTACAGGAGTCTCGCCTCCAGTCCCTCACCTCCAGCATCTCTCCTGCCAGATTCTTTTCATCTGATTAAATTCATTTCAAAAGCTAGATGACTGGGGGGGGGAAGGGGGGCAGCTAGGTGGTGCAGTGGATAGAACACCGGCCCTGGATTCAGGAGGACATGAGTTCAAATGCGACCTCAGACACATAACACTTACAAGCTATGTGACCCTGGGCAAGTCACTTAATCCCACTGCCTTAAAAAAAAAAGCTATGTGATCTTGGCAAACCATTTCAACTCTCTGAGCCTCAGTTTCCCCATCTGTAAAATGGGGTTAATAATACTTGCACTGCCTCCTTGATAAATACTACAGTGCTATACTACACTAGCAAACATCCAGGGAACTTGAACTGTATAAACTGTCAAAGAAACCAGGGGTACCAAAACTAGCTCACCCCCCTCATTCTATATTTCGGAGATCTGACTTTGGGAATAACTAAGTGAGGGGGAGGGCTGCCTGTGTGTTTATGTGGTTATCTCACTTTTACCACTTGGCTTCACCGACCTTGCCGCGGGCCAGGCCATCCCGACTGAGGAGAGAGCCCACAACAGCCTGTTACGCCCCTGCCCCGACTCACCCTCCCCAGACCCTTCACATCTTCCAACAATCAAATCAACACGGCCATTACTCTAGCGAAAGACGTGTCAATCCACTGTGCCCATCTTTCCACCCACCATCTCCCAGACTTCCCCAGCCAACACTCCCCTGCATGTGCCTCAAGCCCCAATCAGAGGGGAAGTTTCCTGAAAGCTAGGACTAGATGTCTTCCGTACTTGCAAACCCTCCCTGAGCCCAAACACGCAGCACGGTGCCTGGCGCACAGTAAATGCTTACTAAATGTTTTTTCATTCATTCATATAAATGTATGCTTATTATATCTCATGATTATTATTAAATTCAGCAGATGCTAACCCAGCATTTGTCTGCACAAGATGGAGAAGTATCATGGGAGAGTGGAGAAGGGGCCAGCCTTAGAGTCCAGGAGACCTGGGTTCAGGGCTTGCCCAGTCACTTAAGCTCTAGTGTCCTGGGCAAGCCTCCAAGATGCTAACTTGTGGGTATGTTTCCTACAGTGATTACATCACAGGTTCAGACCATAGTAACAATACTCCAAGAATTACAATAATATGCATATAAATGATCCCCGTGTAAAACGAAACATGATGGAGGCAAAGAAGATATCCAGACAAAACCTCCTAAGAAATGTGAGAAAGGAAAAGTCCCTTTCAGCTGGGAGATCCTAAAAGGCTTCATGGGGGAGGTGGCAGCTGGGTTAGGTCTTAAAGTAAGAGACAGAGCTCTAGGAAAAGTTGTGCCCAAAGGCACCAAGCCAGCTGAGGGAGATTAAGGATCTGGTGGTCCAGTTTGGCTGGAACACAGAGTGTGCAAAGGGAATTAGTCTGCAATAAGGTGAGGCAGGGAGGCTGGAGTGGGGTGGGGGCGGGCAAACCTTCTTCAAAAATCTTTCCCCTCAGTCTTCCAAGATTCCACACTCTCTTGGTTCTCCTTTCTGCCTCCTTTCTGTACATGCTTCTGTCTTCTCATCTTAGGATCATAGAATCCTGGATTTAGCTTTACAAGGAGCCTTAGAAGCCAATGGGTCCAACCTTTTATTTACAGATGGTAACACTGAGGCCCAGGGCCTCAAAGCTTGTTTCTATAAAGCTGAGAATTGAACCCAGGGCTTTCTGATGACTAATACATGTTGCTAATGACCTCAATATGGACACATGCCCAGAGTTCAAAGTGCGCAAAGTATCTCAGTAATCACTTACCTGCAGAGACTTCCTCTTTATCCTCTGCCCTCTCAAGGTACAGGTTATCCAAGGCATTGTTGAGGGACTCTTTGGAGAGATGCTGATGGGCAGGCAGGATGCTGGGCCCCCGAAAAGAAAGAGAAAGAGAAAGTAAGAAACTATGGAGACAAAGGAACCTCTGGGATGTGTTGTGGAAAGAGCCCTGGCCTGGGAGTCAGAAGATGTGAGTTCCAGTCCTCCCTTGGCCATAGACTCCTATGCCGTGACCTCAGCTAAGTCCCTTCTCATCCGGGCACCTCAATTTCCTTTCTTATAAAAATAAGATGATGCGGTCGGTCTTTCCCATCTCTGACATTCTCTGTTGTCTGGTCTCCGTTCTCATATCCCTTCCAGCTCTGATATTCAATGCTCTAAGGTTTGAATTGACAAGTTCCCAAGAAGGATACTACCGAGATGGCCGGGCCCAAAGCAACAAGCACACCATTCTGCCTGCTCTTGCCCTCATTTCTGCCTCCTGGCTTCCCTGGCTCCCTTTATGTCTCTGCTATCCTGAACCCCATGAATGCTGGTCCCTTCCCTCATCTGTTTGTACACAGTCTTTGTATGTTGCCTTTCCCATTGGACTGTGGACTTCCTGAGGGCAGGTTCTATGTTCTTGCCTTTCTTTGTACCTCCAAAGCTCAGCACAGTGCTTGGCACATAGTAAATGCTTAATAAATCCCTAGTGACTCAACCTGACTGGGTCTCTCTAACATGGCAAAACCCAGATTTGAAACAACCACCATGATATTTCCCACCTTATGTGAGCTCCATTATTCCATCTCTGACAAGGGGCTGGGTGGGGAGTTTAAGGCAGGGCCCAGGCCAGGGGGACGGTAAGGAGAGGGCAAAAGCCATTCTCCCGCAGTGACCGTTCATTCCCCTCCTTGAAGGCCATCCTGTTGTCCCACATCCCAAGACCCTAACTCCAAGGCCCGTCCGCCTCTCTCAGGGGTGACTGGAATAACAATCACTCTCATTTCTATTGGACTCAAATTCACAAAGCATTTCCCTCCCCCACCTCACCCCACAACGACCTGTGCGGAGGAGGGAACATCCAGTTAATTATCTCCATTTTGTAGATGATGAAGCCAAGGAAGTCACTTAACCAAGGTCACACGACCCAGAGGTGCCTGAGCTGAGAATGAAGCTCAGGCTCTTGACGTCAAGCCCAAAGGGCACACTGTCCTCTTGACATTGAAGGTGGTGCTAGAGACTGGAGTCCTTGATTCTGTTTGGAAATCCTGCAGCAGAAATCTGCCAGGAAATCTAGAGCTGGGAGGCACGTGCGTCATCAACTGGTCTGTCTTCTTCATTTTACAGAGGAGGAAACTGAGGGGAAGCAGCGAGTGGCTGAGCTAGGAACCAAACCCAAGCGCCCTGACCCCAAAGTCAACCAGGACTCTTCCCAAAGTGTCTGCCATCCCCGGCTGGAACCAGAACAGCTGGCATAATCCCTAGGGGCAGAAGGGGACTCTTCCACGGGCAGGCAGGGCTGGCACCACAATGACACCATTCCAACAGAATGAGAGTTTCCTGAAGGCAAAAAGTGTTTCATTTTTATCTTCCTATCCCTAGCACCTCCAGCAATGCCTGGCACATAGTGGACACTTAATAGAGGATCATTGATTGATCTCTGCTCCAAGCTTCTTGGTTTCACCAGCCGAAATGAAGAGAAAGGCCTGCCTGGGGCCCTGGGCATGGGAAGAAGGGGTGCAGCTTCACAGTGGTACTATCTGGCTCAAGAATTCCTTGGCTTCGGCGCAGCGAATAGAGCTCTGGCCTTGGAGTCAGGAGGACCTGAGTTCAAATCCAGCCTCAGACACTTAACACTTACTAGCTGTGTGACCCTGGGCAAGTCACTTAACCCCAATTGCCTCACCAAAAAACAAAAACAAAAACAAACAAACAAAAAAAGAATTCCTTGGCTTCCATCCTGGACCCCCAGCCGTTCCACGTACTCTGCCTCTGCCCAGTGCCTTTTTTGCTCCCTTTCTCCAAAGTTGTTGACCTAGCAATGCTCTTGGTTGACTTTGCCACTTCCACACCCCAGCCACCTAGGAGTACATGGGAGTGGTTTCCAGCCTCCTTTAGAATCTTCTAAATGGTCCACATTGTCTCCTATGGAGTCTTCAACGTGTTCTTGGGGACAGCAAGGGATTCCACAGGGATGCTGACCCAGGACCACCCACAAGACCTTCCAGGGCTGAGAACACCCCTGCCCTTGGCATGCTTTCGTCATCTCCCCATCTCAGGCAGACTTCAAACCTCTGGTGGAAGAGAAGACAAGGTCACTGACCATCCTTCATCCCCAGTGATGCACACCAAAGGACCTGTTGGTGCCTGGGGTTACCAGAGGCCCGGCAACACAGCAGGGCATCGAGCCTCAGGAACAGTCCAGAGTCAGTCCTTCAGGGGTGATTAGCCCAACCCTTTTTGGAGCTGGAATCTGGTGTAAAACAGCCCTGGCCATCCAGGCATGTCTTGAAGACCTTCAGGAATGAGGAACTCCCTAGTGCCTGAGGGACTCCAAGTTGCGGCTCGCTACCTCTTGTCACTTTTGGATGGTTCTCATTTTTATGAAGCTTTTTCTTATGAGGAATTAAAATAGGCATTTGTATAACTTCCATAGCTGGGAGGCCAACAGGTAAAGCCTAACCCTTTCCCTACACAACAACAACCCAAATACTTGAAGACATGTCTTCTTTTCTCCAAACAAAACAACCCCAAGGCCTTCATTTGCAGCCTCTGAACCAGCCTAGTCATCCTCCTTTCTGATGCCCACAGGACCAGACCAATCCACCGTCCCTTCCCTTTTCCAAAGGCTTGCTGGTAGGGGTGGGGAGAGGACAGACCGTGGGCTGAGTTACCTTCTCTGAACATTCTGTCTTAATCCTTTCAGACGCAGTGGATTCAAACTGAGTTTTCGAGCCTGTATAGTACCTCCAGGAGGAAGTCTGTTCAAAAACCTAAGATTAATTTTAAAGTGACACAAGTCAAAAGATTAGTGGGAAGGTGTAGGAGATAGAAGAGAGAGGGGTGATGGAAGTCAGGCAAGGGCCCTTGTGTTTATAAAACACCATCCCAGCTCTGGGAGAAGCATCAAGAACTCCAGCCACTGTCCAAGACTGTCTCCAGCTACTGCAGCGTCCCTATGGGCTCTTCCCTTCCCACTAGGAACACGTCCTCAAGGTCAAGAGAGAGGAACAAAAGACCTGAAACCCTTCCAGGTTGAGGCAATCACAGGACTTCAATCATAAAGACCCTCAATTATCCGCCACCTGGAGGACTCCTGGTCTCTACTTCAACTGATCCATCCCTTCCCTAGACTTTACCCAGGAGTTTACAAATTTTCCAGAACCAACAAGGCCAGACCTGAGGCTCAAACCATCTTCTCCCACAAGGAACGTGTCAAAATGTAATGGGAAGGGAACCAAATATGGAGGCAAAAGGCCTAGGTTCTAAGTGGTAGGACTCTTCTGGACCTCCATTTCTTCATCTGTAAAATGAGGGAGGTGAACTGCTAGACGATCTCTGGGATCCCAGGCAGTGTTGACACCCAAGTTCTAGGGCCCCTCCAGCTCGGACATTCTATGTTCTTTCACATTCTAAGTTTTAAGGTCCCCTTCAGCTTGGACAACCTATGATTCTTCATTGAATTAGTATATGGAATGTTGATTCGCTGACCCTGGTTCTTTCCCTAGCTATCATCTAAGTCAAAAAGAGAAAAGCTTAGAGGTGACTGCAATCTATTATTATCTAGGTTAAAAAGAAAAAACCCACAGGTGACTGCAATCTATTATTATCTGAGCTTGTACTAAAATGAATCTATATTTTTTTCCCTCAAGAAGTATGGCCAGAGTATCTCTCACAATCAAACCATTCTCACAATAAAAGCCAATCATTTTTTAAATGGCTAAATGAGAAACAAAATCAATCATTAGTCTGGGGTTGGAAGGGAGCATTAGAGTTTATCTGGGGTCATAGGTTTAGAACTGGGAGGGACCTTAGAGTTCTTCTGGCCCATTTTACAGATGGAGAAGCTAAGGCCTAGGTAGACATGTTGAGGAGGAATAATAAACCCCTTAGCAGGACTGGTAAATTCCATCCCTATAGCAATTCATACCCTTGAAGCGCTTTTATACACACGTTATCTCCCTTTCAATGAACTCTCTTGTGGTACCCTGTTTTCCTCTCCTGCTTTGGAATAAGGGACCTGTAACTTCAGGGCAGGTTTAGAGTAAGGGTCTGGAGCCATTCTGGTTTGAAATTTTCTCCATTTGGACAATGAGCAGCCTAGGCCAGGCAGGAAAGACCTAGCTCATGCCCTTGGCTTAGGCTTTCGAGGTTACCTTCAACTGACCCATGAGAGAAAACACGTCCTGCTGGTCCCTTATTCCTCTTCCCTTCAGCCCTCATTTGGAGTCTAGAAGGGCTGAGCCTCCCCACATCCTGGCAGGGGATTGAGCTGTTCCACATACCTGAGTTTCCCAGATAGCTAAAGCTTAACTCGTTATGTGCCAAAGCTGAGAAAAACAAATTTAAACATTTGAAATGGAAATCTTTCTAAAATGCATCATATATTTCCTGAACTTCTTAAAGCAGAATTCAGCCTGAGTTTGTAAATGGAATCAAAATGTTAGAGCTGGGCAGGACCTTGAAGGTCCAAGGCCTTGGTTTGACAGCTGAGAAGGATGTGGACCAAATTTATGGTTCATAGGTGCTGGGGCTTCTGCTAACAGATCCCTGCCTATCTGTGGTTCAGGACCATCACAATGAATGAGTCTTGGTTCTGAATTCTGGGTTTAGAGCTGGAAGAGAGAGACGGGTGTGCATCTAAGGGAGGTAGCAAGGGACAGTGGGGAAAAAATGGGCTTTGGAGTCAGAGGGCCTGGGTTCAAATCCTACCACCAAATGCTTACCACCTACGGGACCTGGGGTAATTCTCTTCTCTGGGCTTCATTTTTATCAACTGTAAATTGGATAGGTGGGAGGGCATTGTGAACCAATTAGCCCTGAGGTTCCTTCTAGATCTACCATCCCAAGACTGAGGCTTGAATCTCAGTTCTGCCGTTTGCTG